CCTTTCAGCTGACTCTTTCCTCAATTCCCTCTGGCAACTAGCCAGCCTATAGTTTAGCCCATATCTTCAATGTATGTACCAAATCTAGCAATCTTCTCCCATTTGTCTTTCAAAGTAAGCCTTACCGTTTTGAGATTGCTTTTAGGCTTGAACTTCACATTCCTTTGTATTTGAAGTTAGTTCTTTTATAAGAGTTTCAGTGCTCTCTGTTTTATGGCCTATTTTTTCTCCCTGATTCCCAGGCAAAATCTCTGAGTCATAGCTTTGGAACTTTTTTCTAAGTGATACCTCACTTTAGTAGCTAAATGTTTTGTTGTGAAGGGGAAGTGGTAGCCTTGTTCTTCTTGGCTCACCTGTTCTAACATGAAACCTCTCCCTTATAAGCCATGGAAGTGTAATCACAGCCCCAGTATCCTCAGGGACACCTTACCCAAGGTAAAGCCTCTGTCCCATGAGTGAGGATTTGATGGAAGAAGGCAATCCTCACCTCTCTGCTGTGTTTGCCCAGAACTTAGCCTCAGAAACTGGTAGTTAGGCAAGATGAGAAATACTAACATTCTGTTCCTCATGGGTAAATAACCCTCCAACTAACAGCTTGGAGAAGAGGAAGCCCTTTGTTCTTTGTTGTACTAGTCTGGAGTAGATTTCCGGAACTGCAGAGGTGGAGGGAGCAAGCAGATCTTGGTTCAAATACCACAGACTCTCTTACTGAGTTTTAGTAGATTTTCTTGAATAAATAATTATTTGTTTGCTTTATGCCTTAGAAGTCTTTCCAGAGATTTTGTTTTTTAAAAAAATAATTTTACTAGTTTTTCTGGAGAATGGGTCCCTGTAGTTCCTCAGGCTATTATGCCATAAGTGCGAAAAAAGAAAACAAGCAAACAAACCAGACTACATGCATAAAAGACTATCTTGTAGAGATGTGTCTGAAGCTAAATCTTGAGGGATAACGAGGAATTCAACAGTTAGAAAGGAGAGGAGTTAAATTCTTTTTAGTTAGGTTTAACAGCCCTGTATGCTTTACATGACCACCAAGGCTACAGAAAATCTAGCTATCTGGACATACTCTATTAGCTTTTCAGTGCCAAATAAACTGTTTACATTTTCTTTCTTTTAATTTTTTTTTAGGAACTAGACTTTAAAATACTAAATTAAAAGGAAACATTTAGAAATATATACAGTGCAACTAAATGAGAAGATATTAATTTAGTAAATTTGGCAATTGTTAAATAAATGTAAAAATTATTTGAATCTTGGGTAAATATAAAATATAAAATTGATACCATTAGATTCTTTTACAGCTATGAGAGGTGAATTCCAAATTTAGCTCTGAGTTTTCTGCTGAACTAAAAACTAAAAAAAACAAAAAAACAAAAAAACACAAACTAAAGAAAATAAAATCATTTACAAAATATCCATTGACTATTATAGTAAAACAAATAATTTGTAGAGATGCTGGGACAATGAAATAAAATATGATAATTGTAAGAGCATTCTCTGTCATTCATGGTTTTCCAACAGTGTTAAGTAATATCTTCCTCATCCTACATTATACCTGAAAAAAATAGGAATTTTGGCTCTGATCCCCAGGAATAAATACCACCTTTTCTCATACTATGTATGAAAAGAGATACGTTAATGTTTAAAATTGTCCCCAAGAAGAAGCTCACAGAGCTTTTCCATCTTTTATGCTTGAGTTTTACCTCCTGCTTGGTCATCTAGATCTATGAGATAATTATAATTTATTGCAACTATGGTGACAAGAAAAGAGAAGACAGCAAAAATAAGAATGTGGACTTTGGCATAATTTTTTTTTTTTATTTTACCAAAATAGTCAGAAGTAAATCTGTATATGTATGTTTGCTGCAGTGTGTGAGTATGCATGTTTGTGCCTACAACATGAGAAAGAGGGAAAACAAAAATGTCATAGTTCGTAGACTTGGCCCAATCGACCATTGTCAGTGAATCTGAATGAATGAGATTAGCATTTTCTTTACTTCAGAAGGAGCAAGATAGTGTGTAAGGAGTATTGTAGTATTTTCTTGTACTTTTAGCTTTCTAAGACTATGTAACTATTATTCACTGTTTATTCTGTACATGTAGTTTATTAAGTCTATGTTGATCCTTGGCTATTTGTTAATTGAATAGCTGGAGAGATTAAAGACAAAAATATCTAATAGAAGTTTCCTTTAATTATTTACACATACAAGAATTGTTCTAGGATGTAGAATAGAAAGAATGACTGCTATAGAGATAAATTAATAACCATCAGTTCTTGGAACTGAAAAACAGAATTATAAGGGAAACTTAATCAATTAAAGGGATTCTTCTTGGGTGAAAGAGTACCATGGGCAAAGTTTTGGAAGTTAAATTGCATAATTTCTTAGAGGTGGTTGTAGATTTTGAGTGCAATTCTGATATGATTAATGCAAATACAGCTCCTCAGATATATCCAGCCTGGTATTTGAGGTTTGCACTCCAACTTCAAATATTGGTCCACCTTGAGAAAAATATTTATAACAAACATATAGAGATTCTTGAGGAGACGGTAGTGACTAGTTACACATACACCCTCCCACACACACAAATACTTTTTTTTTACTTTATCACTACTATAATATGAAAATGGCTCATATTTAGAAGGCCAAAACTGCATGTCAAAATTAATGCTTAATTTAGTAATCTTGGTAATGACATATAATTCTTCCAGTGTCAGTTTCCACATCTAATATATGAGGATTCCATTACCTGCTTCATAGCTTTTTTCTGTGGATTAAGATACGATTATGTGAAATATTTTGCACTATGTATAGTAAACACTCAATGTACTTGATATTGTTGATGTTGACAATTACAAAACACAAAGGCTAGAATGCCCTTGGATAGGTGCCCAATACTTTGTTAGCACTTCAAATTTTTTCTCATATAGTATTTATAATAATTGTATAAAGTGTTAAGTGCTTGAGTTTCAGTTTCCTCAGGGATAAAGCGAGGCTCCATAACTTGCTCAGGATTGGCTAGGTAGTAGAAGGCCAAGCTGTGGCTGCAAAGTTTGTTTAGTGCAAACACTGTATTCCTTTTTACTCTCCAGGAACTGCCATTCAGTTCCTAGTCAGACTAGAAAAGATTTGTAACTCTCTAAGGAGATAATCATACCTTATTTGAAATATAACCACTGTAGAGTTTTGTTGAGTAGATAAAGCATAAAATGTAAGCTCCTTATCTTAGAGTAATGTTGATACTTTCCTTTACACTTTCCCTTCCATCACAACTAGTGAGGTGCATGCTTCCTCTCTGATAAAGAATAAATCATCATTAATTAGATATAAAATAGTAAAGAAAAATGAATATGTCAAGCAAGACATTTGAGGACATCACCTTGATTTTGGGGAAGTGAGGTTATGTTCAATTACGGAAGTGCTAGGAATTTCACAGAATAGTATGGAGCCATTTGTAATTAACCATATTAGAATATTGGAGAGTTGGCAGGGCTCTGTGGCTCACGCCTGTAATCTTAGCACTCTGGGAGGCCGAGGAGGGAGGATTGTTGGAGGCCAGGAGTTTGAGACCAGGCTGGGCAAGAGTGAGATCCCGTCTCTAGTAAACATAGAAAAAATTAGCAAAGCAACTAAAAATGGAAAAAAAAAATTAGCCAGGTGGGTAGTAGTCCCAGCTACTCAGGAGGATCAGGCAGGAGGATTGCTTGAGCCCAGGAGTTTGAGGTTGCTGTGAGCTAGGCTGATGCCATGGTGTTCTAGCCCAGGCAGCAGAGTGAGACTCAATCTCAAAAAAAAAAAAAGAGAGAGAGAATATTGGAGAGTAGTCTTGATAGGTAACTAAATTCTAATCTTACAACATAGCCAGCAGGACTAACCAACTGTAAATTTACGACATGTCTGTGATTATTTGGTGTGTGCTTTAAGAGTACTTTTATATTTAAAAACAACAAAAAAATAGTATTTGAAGGTTTTAGGGGTCTGAATATAATCAATTGTCAAAAACAGGAGTTTGATATATCAAATGCAAGTCTGTTTGTTCATATTCAAAAGCCAAACATTTTTCTCCTCTTGGCTTGCTTATAAATATTCAGTGCCACAGAAACACAAATAAATAATTGGCCATTTCCAATGCATTCTGTATAATTTACAACAGATCAAAAGATTATTACATGGTACGGTCAAAATCAAACTGTATTGCATTTATTACAAGTGAAAAATCATGACATGGCCCAAGTCAACAGTGTATTAATGGGCCCAAACTGTGTGTGTGTGTGTGTAATTTTTTATATTTAAAGATTTAAGGATTAAGGATTACATATTGAGTTCTCTGCTATTGGAATTGACCTGGAAAGATTAGAAGATTATTATCTATTTACAGTGATTAAAATCTTTATGAAAATGACAATATTAAAATAACTTGGGATCATCTTATCCAAAAATATCCCAAAGTCAATTTCTAATGAAAAAATAAAATTTATAAAAAAAATACGATTCCTCATCTTTAATCTTATCTCTTTTATCATTGTTAAGGACCCCTTCTCAACAAGTGATTTGGTTTTGGCCTTTTGCTGGGTTTTTGATGTTTGTTTCTACTATATAACCAAACAAGTAATAGCTTAAAATGGGTTGTGTTGTACCCAAGATAAACAAAGAAATAGATCTTTGTTGCATACAACATTTTTTCTTTGAAATAATCAATTTTATCAATAAAATAAAGCTCGCTCATCAAGAAAACTTCTCTCAGTTTACTCAGATATGGACTTTATAAAGCTAAGCTCCAGCAAATTTTGTTTGGGATAATCATTTATGCTTTTTTTTTTTTTTAAGTAGTCAAGCACTTGGCTATTTTCCTTATTGAGTGGTCAGACTCTATAATCACCATGTTGAAAACATCCTAATTAAGGGAAGTGAAAACAGACACACATGCTTCCAAAGAGAAAGTTGAGTTGCACGTTACAATGAAATACCCTCAATGCTGATGTTATTTTTTCCTTCCCATAGGGAACCACAGTCAGATATCACGAGTACCTGTTGCTATTAAAGTGCTGGATGTCAATGACAACGCCCCTGAATTCGCATCCGAATATGAGGCATTTTTATGTGAAAATGGAAAACCCGGCCAAGTAAATATCTCCATGTTGTTAATGCTGAATATGTTTGTATACCACTGTCTCATATTTGATTAACCTGCATTATAGTGTGCATTTGCATTATTTATGACCTGCAAAATCTCAGGCAAGAAACACATCCAAATGGGAACAGAGAGGGAATATTCTTTCTTCCTCATATGTTATTTCTCTTCCTGCTTATGACCAAATTGGCTCCTAAAGTGGAACAACCTGCTGTGCCATGAACCCAGCGCCAAATTATTGTCTTAAAATATCTCAGGATGTGAATGATAGGGGATGTCTTAGAGTGATGGGACCTGAATTTTAACCTTCAAATAACAAGAAGCAAGGCAAAAAGCTCACAAAAAGGTGATGCTTGTTTCATATCAAACATATGAATAACAAATAGTAGTGGAATCCAATTAAACCAATGATTTATAGAAAGTTGTAGGATATGAATATTGAAATCTGTAAAAATGTAGATATATTTAGCTAAACATAAGATGAACGACATGTTTGAGATGTGTATTAGTAGAATTTTTTTTTTGTATGCCTCATATAGCATGATAAGGGCAATGAAGACGGACAGAAAAAGAAAGAGAAAGAGAGAAAGGAGAGTGAGCGAGAAGCAGAGTCAGGGAGGGAGGGAAGGAGGGGGGAAAAAAGAAGGAAGAAAGTTAAAGAAACAAGAAGAACAAAACCAAAAACTGCTATACTCTGAATGTCAAAATGGAAATAGCCTTTGTAAAGTCCTACAAAAACACAAATGTAATAGATTTATTTTAACAAGGTACCAAAGTACTGTATGTTTAAGAAATTTATCATTTTTCAACTTCCTAATTTATTTCTGGATGGTGACATTTTAATTTAAATAAACAGCAGCTGACAGTATGACACTGGAGTTGTTAATCCAACTATTCTTGTGCCTCATGTGGGTGTTAGGAATTAAACTTACTATTTGCCAAGCAGCTTACCTGACAAGAGTCAGATTTTTTTCCCCCTAAAGAAAGGAAGAGCACTGTAGTTCTATGCTTTTATTTATTACAAAAGATCAATGTGTTACCCTCTCAAAACACAGTGAGCATTTCCCCATAGACTACTCTCACATATCTGAGGATTAACATTGTTTCCATCTACAAAAATAGCACACACACACACACACACACACTCGAATTCTAATAATAAAACATCTAGACATTGTGTTCTCATCAAAACATTCAGCTATAGCAGTGGTACATTTATTTTTACAGTATTCTAACATTAGCTTAAAAGTTTCTTAATTTCATCATGTGGAAATGCCCTCTATCAATCATATCTTTTGAGCATCTTCATTTGTGATCCTTTGAGAAGGGTGTGTATTGTGTGCATATGTGTGTGTGTGTATGTGTGTTTGTACACACATATATCAGTGAATATCATTTAGGTAAGTTGGTGGATTGAGTTGGCAGAGAGAGTTTGATCAAAATATGGCAGGTCAGTTTCAAGGATATGGTGGTTGTGTGGACCAGATAATTGCTGAGCTAGTGTAGCCAATCACAGATTTATAAGCTAGACTTTTTCAATCACACAGAATCTATAAAATACTTTAGCATTTAAATACAGCTCCATTGCTCATGCAGAACTCATCACACAAGTTCAGGGAGTCAATGACATTGATATTTCAAAAACTCAACATTGGCTTCACTTGTGGTATTGACAAGTATGCTTCTTGGATCTCTAGGAACCTGTAGGTTTACCCTGTGGATTTTGACTGTTTCCAAGGTTTTAATGATTTCTTAGCAGTTCTTATCTTCAGAAAAAAAAATGCATTGTTTCCTGCCATTTCCTATGAAAAATCAAAATAAAAAAGTTGATTCTTTATTTTATGACTTTCACAAATCACAATGTGTGACTTATTCTGTAAAGAAATGCTTATATTTGGTATGTGTGTTTGTCTCCTGCACCATCTGATTTCCTAATGAATCAGTTTAGGCATATTTATTATAGTCCATTAGTTACATAAAAGGATCAGATCTTTGACTGTTTAGCAATGTTTTTGGACTTATGGCTGACTGATGCACTTGCAGTTGTCCGAACAATGTTCCTGAATTCTTTGAATCTTTTGGGCTCGTCAGAATTCATATTTCCTTCCTTGCATCACTCCTAGGTCACTTTTAATGCTCAAGTATCTAATTGTCATATTTAATATTTTCCACTATTTATATTTGTTTTCCACACCAGCATTCACTTACAGAAGTTCAAAAAAGACACACTTATGATTATTTCTCATAATACTACAGAAATGGCTGACTTACTTTGGACTTAGAATATTCATTATCAGATGATCACATGCTCATAAAAAATAAATGTCAAAAACTGAATTAGCACTAAATTCATAGTCATCTCAATATTTTCAACAATTAATATTGGCTTTATGACAGCTTCAGAGGAAAAAAAAAAAACCTGCAGGTGACATTCAAAGGTCTTATTTATCTGGAAGGTATGGATTTAAGGCTAAACTGGAAGGTATGGATCAGCTTCCTGAGAGATGGTGCAGCCAGAGAGAGATTATTAGCAATGATCAAGGGCAAGCCATTGAGAAATCTAGTCTGTGTAAAACTGTCTGGACTGAGAGGGCCTTTGTAAAGAGATTTTTAAAACATCTTACCCAATGAAAACTAATATCAACATGAACATAGGGAATTCTATTGTGCTTTATCCTTTTGCACTGAATTGGACTCAACTAAACACAGTCAGGATTTAAAAAAAAAATGAAAAAGAGGGAGGTCACTGTCCTCTGGTCTAGGCATTCATCTCTAGTTCATGATACATCTGTGCTAGAAAAAGGTATAGATTGACTTTGAAAGTAGAATTGGAAATCATATCTGTCCCTGCCACCTTCTCATGATTCTGAAGTTAAAGGTGACATTCCCTTGAATTTGGTCCCTCCAAAGTGTAACTACCACCACCACAGGGAATAATAGCTTATAGTCCATAATCAAAATCAATCTGAATCCCTTCTGATTAGAATCCTTTTAAATGATTGTAAATGTCACATAATTAAATGTTAATGCAATATTTTCTGATTGCTAGTTACACACACACACACACACACATACATACATTTTTAAAGTCTGACAGTGATAGGTAATTTGTTTGAAGTCAGAAGATACAAGATGATACACATCTTTAGATTCTAAGCCAATGATGGCATGATATAGTCATCTACAGCTTAGTTTTTTCTTAGTTTAGCAGGATACATAAAAAGGTTACTCTCCACTTACTCCTCTCTAATGTCTAGGGCAAAAATGAGAGTGTGTGTTCACTACAAAATTAGAAAGTAAAATATATATGTAACAGTTCATGTGCCTGATAGGGTGATAGGTTTTTGTCAGTCAGTAAATAGTCATTGAGCCCCATCTGTGTTCCAGAAATAAGGAGCATACAACACCCTAGGAATCAGCCTTTTACTTTCATAGAAGTTTCTCTTTGGGAAACATGTATTTAAAATTAGAAATGATAGAATTGCAAGAAAATACTGTCAATATTTAGGACAGAAAGGATGCCGAAGGGACGGAGGGGAAATGGAGCTCAATGAAAAGGCCTCTCAATATAGGACAAGTGTCACCAGAGACAGAAAACATCTATCAAGTACTGAAAAGGAGTCAGCTGGGGATAAACCAGATTCTGTCTGAAGAGATTGGTAATCTGGCTGAACAGGTGGAGGAACAGGTAATAAATGTGGAGAAAACAGCATCATTCTTCAATGTGCTTGACAACCCAACACTCAGAACCGAACATGAAGGAAAAATATACAGCTTCAGTGACCAGTGTTGGCCAAAGCGTCTTCCATAACTCTGTTCTGCATCTTATCTTCTTAGTAGGACCTTCATAGCATTTTATTCTAGAGGCTAACATCTTGCTTACCATATACAGAATTAGGGTAACTTGTTCCAGATGGTCCATCAGTGCAGGGACTGAACTGAATATTGTTTTTCTAGGTATGAGTCAAGGTCTCTTGTTTAGTCTCAGAGAATATTTCATTGTTTCAAAGTTAGGTGGCAGATGGCCTTAGCTCTTTTCTCTTTCAGGAAAGAACTTGCCCTGTTACTATAAATAAGTCTAGTGGGGTATAATTTGAGCATTATCACCATCTATACAAGGTGAGAGTTGTTTGGTGTCAAGTAATTATGCCTGATTAAAAAAAAAAAAAAGAAAACACACAAAAAATTGATTTACTTCCATTAATCTCATCTTCTTATTTCTGTCCAACATTGTAGCAATATAAAGTTTGTTTATTATGGACATATCACAGTTAAGAAAGAAACAAGTAGTTCCCCATACTTCTGGATAGTATGCATTAAGCCATTGCTTGGCATATAATGGATAGTCACAAAATTTTGGAATCATGGTTCTAATTCATTTTATTCAGCAATGACAACTACTTCAAAAATTAATTCCTTAGCTATTACCATGGAAACACTTGTTTCACTCACAGACACACAGCATACATGCTAACCTTTTCAGAAGAAAATTGTTCATTTATTTATTGAACAATATTTTTATGCATCTACAAGATGCTAATTCTTGTAATACAATCCGGGGAAAAATGTGAAAGGGCAAAAAAGTATTTGTTCTTATGGAACATAATGAGAAATATTTTATAAAAAAGAGTAGAATGAATAAATAATATAGTTTAAAATTTTGAAAGCTGGGTTGAAATAAACATTAAAGCAACCAGACTGAGGGGAACAAAGAAAAACACAGGGATCTACTTTATATAGTGTTTTCAGAGATAGTTACTTTTTAAGTGGGTGTCATTTAAGCTGAAACTGAAAAAATTAGAAAGAGCTAGGCATGAAAGGAACCTTCTAGCCAACAGCATAAGTATGTACAAAGACCCTGAAAGGAGAACGGCCTTGGTTTGTTTGAAGAATTGAAGATATCTGTAGCTAGCATGTAATAAGCAAAACTGAGAGAGGACACAAAGAGTTTCATGTTTGAATAAAATATACTCATGCACACACATACACACA